CTGCCACTCCCGTAGATTTCAGCGGTCTCTCTTTCCACAACGAAGTTCGTCCACCGCCTACTGTGGTCCGCAACTCCGCCGCCGCTGTCGAGGGCCCACCACAATCATCAACATTCGGGCCAATATCAGAAGTCTGCGGTGAAGCCTGCGCCTCCACCCCCACCGTCCTCAGGCAAATCACATCATTAACTGCGGTTCGCAACTCCGCCGCCGCCGCCGAGGACCTACCACGATCATCAGAATTCCGGCCAACACCCGACGTCAGCGGCAGTGTCCGTTTCTGCGCTTCAACAGTCTTCGGGCCAATTTCATTCATTTGCAGGCTGCATCTCCGCTGCTGCTGTCGAGGGCCCCCCATAACCATCAGTATTCGAATCGATACCCCACGTCTGCGGTGAAGTCTGCGTCTCCGCCTCAACTGTCTTCGAGCTAATTACAGATAGTGACTCCTCTATGTCCACCATCTCATCAAAGTCTGATCGGATGGAACTCACTATACGCTTTATCTCTCCGTAGACATTATTCCTTGGCAGGACAAAATGCAGGAGATCCCCGATCTTCTTCCCCAACTCCAGAAACTTCACTCTCCTATTCTCTTCCCACACACACTTGTGAGAGAGTGTGTGCGTGTGTGTGCGCGTGCGTGTGTGTGCGCGTGCGTGCGGGCGTGCTCATGACATTATGTCACCTCTACACCTCCTGCCTTATCAAATTAATCTTTTTAATTAATTAATGAACGTCTTTCTCATCAGGGCTTTTAGCCTCATAAATGTGCTTACCACTGTTAAAAAGGTTCATTTTATAAGGCAGGAGGTGTAACAATGACCTAATGGCATTAGCCACTATAGCAATATTGAGATATCGTGATCTTACTCATGCTGTATGTGTACTCCTTTACTTTTTCAGTATCTTTCTCAGTCCTATGTAGGTAGTTGACACCTTTTGAATTTTTTGCTGTAAAAATAGTAGTTTAAAATGTAAAGAATATTAAGTGCTTTTAAATTAAATACTCTATAATTGAATAATTAAACAACAACACATATGAACAATAATGATGGATTTTATTATATCAGCCTTTTGAATATATAGTACAAGGAACATTTTTTCCTTTTTTTTTCTCTTTTTTCTTGTAGAACCTGGTACATACAGAGTATATTGTCAGCTTCATCCCTCTCTTTCTTTTTGTTCAGGAGTTTATGATGAGTTCCGCAATTCAGAGCGATCTTTACCAGCTCGTGCTGTTGCCAAGAAAAGTACCAGTAAGCGTTCTGACACTGGCCGGGATCATTTGGAAGCCCTCCTTTTTCAATCTCAGAGAGAGTTGAGTTCTGGCCATGTGGAAGTTAGTATTCAATAATATTCTTAATTTTAATTGCTATCTTAAATCATATTTCAGATGATGATGATTAATTTAGTGTTCAATATCTCATTTTGAAGGTTTAAAATCATTCGTAATTTGTTGTTTCTTGACATTTTTTTTTTCCAGAGTATTTTCATTAATCCAACACACACACCTCGCAGATTTGTTCCTCATCAATGTGGACATCGTTGTATTGATGGAATAAAATATGATTCTACCCAAATCAGGAGGTACAATCCTTTAGTACTTCCCCAGTTGCATGGCTGGCAGAGGTATTGTATCAAATTTTCCTTTCAGTTAATACTGATTGTATTGCTGTGATATTAAATCGTATTTTTACCAGTTTTATTCCAATTTTACAGACACATCACAAGATGTAAAGGGAAAAAAATTGTTGTTTATCGAACTCCTTGTGGTAGGCGGGTTAGGAATATGGAAGAACTTCACCGATACCTGCGGGTATCAAAAAGTGTATTATCTGTTGATTTATTCGATTATGATTCTTGGGTGCATTGCTTTGCTGAGTTTGTGATGCCATCAGGATTCATCAATATCAAGGTAATTGTTAAGCTGAAGTGAATGGTTAAATTATGCTGGTTTCATTTTGTTTATTACAGTAAACCCTGGTGAGCATGAATTCCAAGGAACTGAAATAATAAGTGTTTGTAGAGTAAATCTGTCTAAGCTGGAATCGATCAGGATGAAAAAATTTCGGTTTAGGGAGCTTTCTGTTGCGACACTTGTGATAATGGTATTTCTATTCTGAAACTAGTAAATCAATATAAGTAAAGAAGTAATTACAGTAATGTAAAAATTACAAGGGGGAGTTGTTGTTTATTATTATTTAAAAAAAGTAGATTTATATATAACTTTCTTTTTTGGAAGAAATCAGCAATAAATGAATATTAATCATTCTTCATTGACAGCTTATGTGTTTCTCTTGCTTCCATAAGTTTGACTTTTTCATCTAGTGTAAGTTTTTTATGGTTTTCGTATTGTTAAACTGGTTGTGAAAGTCATAAATACACACAACCTCACTGCCTAATGGCTGTAATCGGAGTGTTGCTGACTCTCAATGCACTATGCGATACAGCCCACGGTGCTATAATTTTCTGGTACCTTCGCATGGCCTTGAGTGAAGTGTTTCTGGCCAATCTGGCCAAGGGTTTATGAATTTGAATGTAGAGCAGAGCAAGGTGCGAATAAAAGCTATGCCCATACACCTTTCCAAGTTCAGAGAATTGGAGGGGATGGGTGGGGCAGAATTCCCCCTTACCTATGGCCTACACCTTTAGAGACAAGTGACCCCAAGGGCAAATTTTATACTGTCAGCTGAAGCCCCTCTCCTTCACAGTGCAGTTGCCACGACTAAATAGTGTGGGATTGAGAATTTAAAATACAGTTGCAGTTGCATTCATTACATTAATATTATCTTGCATCTCTGCCAATTGCATTAAATTCATAGGATTTCGGTTTTGTAAAGATTTTTTCTCCTTAAAGGGTACAAGAAAACCGTACTGTTCCGTGTTAGGTTTTGTTTTATGCTGTATAAAACACAAAGTTTACCGATAGAAAGATGTTGCACAACCTGACATCTGTTTGTCCCTTGGGCATGAAGCAGTCCAAATAATCGACCAAACAAAACCAGAAAATGCAATATTGCTTGCAAATCAAAAGACCAGGGTCCAATGGACTCTGCTTGTAGCTGAAAAAAGATAAATATGTTTTTATTTATTGTTCAGTAATGTTTTTGTAAAAAGGTTGCGGGAACAATAAAAAAAACACCATAGCAAACAAAATTACAAAAAACTATCCCAGCACTTTGGATAATTTTCATGTAAAATATTGAAAATTTTGTTCTGGATCCAGTGGACCCCAGTTGCCCGGATATGGTTTAAAGAAGTTTTTCCGGCTTGTACAGGTTCTGGTTTAGACAGATTGTACTGTATTAAAAAAATTGTGTTACCATGTTACCATGACCGAAATTTTGTTCAGATCATGGTAAAATTTGTGTAAAGTGAGTACGTGTTAATGAGGGTTTACTGTATTTTTTTTAACATGATTGATTTTAGTTCATAATGATGTACATAGTACTTCATGGTACAATTTTAATTTATTATATTTAGTGAAGTGATATTGCTCTTGTTTTAGGATTTGTCATATGGTTGTGAAAATGTACCAGTTCCGTGTGTTAATGATAGAGATCACACCGAACCAGAATATGTTAAATACTCTACTGTTCGTTTACCTATGGAAGGTGTTAATGTTAATACCAATCCAGAATTTCTTGTTAGTTGTGATTGCACTGATGATTGTCAGGTAGGACATCTGTTTCTGTGTCAAAATATTAATTTATAAACTGCCTCAGAGGGTAGATTTTAAAGATTTTTCTTGTTTTTGTTGTAATGAAAAAAAAGTTTAATCAGAATGATGACTTGTTTTCAATATTTCTAGTGACAAATTATTCTACAGTTCTGACAGCTTATTAGCGACTCTGACCTTTCACTGCACTGTTACCACACATTACTATCCATGTGGTTCGCCACCTACATGACGGGTAAATGAAATCTCAAAACGTTAACTCTTACTGACAGGCTATAACTCGTCTTGATATCACGTTCATAACTTTTACTGAAGCTGAACCTTGTCTCTGCGTCTGCGTGTGAGTCAGATGAGTGGCAATGCTAAACCCTGGCTGTAAGAAAGTAAACAAGTCCTTGCAAGCTGATTGCTTCAGAGCAGGTCACATGGCGTATCACAGTATGTGGCGAGAGAACTACCAAAGTCACTTATACGCTGCCCTTACTGTAATTTACACCATTCAAAAAAAAAAGTTTTGAAATTTTGATTTATTTTGATGCATTAAAGTTATTTTTTTTCATTTTGAGTCCATGGTAAGAGACTTAATTCCTTAAGAAATAAATAATTTAAATTTCAAAAAAATACCGTAGTACATAAAAAACATAATAATACTAACATACATTTTTATTTAGGTATAAAATTTATTAATGGTTTTAAATTTAATCGGTAATCAAACTGAATAATTGATTCAGAATCCTTGGAATTTCTTTTAAAACTTTAGTTTTCTCTTTGTTCTTTTATCTAGGATAAAGATAAATGTGCCTGCTGGCAGCTTACTATTCAAGGCACAGCATATGGACCTGGAGGTAAAGTGGATAAATCTGTAGGATATAATTTTAAAAGGTTGAGAGAGCCTGTAATGACAGGCATATATGAATGTAACTCAAGGTAAGTAAGGATTGAAAATAATATTACATTATTTATTTCTGTTCAAGTTGCCAGTGTGTAATTAAATAACTTACTAAAGTCAAAGAAAAAGAAGGAGAAAAAGTGTAGATATATGTTAGATCTGTAGGTGTTAGTTTTTAATTTTTATTGTGTTCTTTATAAGGATCCATAAATTGGATAATGTTTGTTTTTTCTTGTTTCCATTTTTCTTCTGTTATTTAATGCAATGGTTGTCATATTATGCTTCTTGCCCTTGCAGGTGTAAGTGTGCCAGCACATGTTTTAACCGTGTAGCCCAACATCCTTTGCAGCTACGTCTCCAAGTGTTCAAGACTGAGAATCGTGGTTGGGGAATACGGTGCCTGAATGATGTGCCTCATGGTGCATTTATCTGCATTTATGCAGGACGTTTGTTGACTGAGCAAGGAGCTAATGAAGTAAGTTCAGTTTTTTTTTTACACAAAAAATTGACTTTCCATACATTCTGCATGCCATGTAATACTTCTTTTTGTAAAGTACTAATTAAACATCCTGATCTGTAGGTCACTGACAAATGAAAAACAATATGCTCATCAAAATGGATTTTTGTGATAGGCTATCAATTGAATTCCAGTTGCGTCTAGCATGCACTTCTATTTTGTACTCAAAAGTATAATACATAAATTGTTTAAGTGGTACTGTGGAATTCCTGAGTAGTTAAAAAACTATTTTGAATGAAAAATTGGTTCATTTCAGGAAAGAGACATGCTATCAATATTTCCTGAGGTTTAATATTTAGTTTTCAACCTTTAGCATGGCATGCTCATTAATGTAATCTGTTTGGCAAGTAATGCTTTGATATCTTTACTTGTAGTAAGTATTTAAAAGCAAAGTTGTAGAGTTAGGTGATAGTTTATTCTAAAGTCTTAAATCAGGTCATTTGTCGAAAAAAAAATTAATTACTTTATCTGTTTATTATTAATTATGCTTTGTGTTATTAGTTTTGTTATTTATCATGTAAAAATTAATGAGACTTACAATTAGAGTACTATTGTTTTCTGCATTTTCTATTTTATAAAATTTAAGTAGATGGAAATCAAATTGTTAGTTTGGATATTTTGAAAATTCTATGCTTTTTTTATGATATCCTGGAATTCAAGAAAGTTCATTAACAAAACCCGAATGCAATTATTGAAAGAAAACTCCTATAATATATCACACTTGCATTAAACTTAATTTCATAAGTAAAATTATTCTATTTATAAATATACATTTTAACATTTTCTTTTCTGTGCAGTGTGATCTATTTACCAAAAGCAACTTTATAAAGAGTTTTTCTTCCCTAATCATCAGTTCTGATTTTTAATATTTGTTTATTATGAGAATGATTTGTAGAATTAAATCCTTGGTCACTTATAACCATTGGAAAGTTCCCTGTAATTAAATGTGTAATAATATGTTTTCTATATTTAAATTAACAATGTATTTTAGATAAGAAATGAGAAATGTAATAACATGTACTAATACTTCTTGTTCTGTCTAATGAGTGATTTAGTGTGTTTTTGTTAAGGGTGGCAAGAACTATGGAGATGAATACTTGGCTGAATTGGATTATATAGAAGTAGTGGAGCGACTGAAAGAAGGTTATGAAAGCGATGTTGTGGAAGATGACAATGATTCCTCAGATTTTGAAAATCCAAAAGATGTCAAAAAAGATCGAAAAGGTAATGTCGAGTGCATTTACTCTTGCATGAAATAAATTATTAATAATAATAATAACCCTCTGGCAGACGTGTTTCAGCACTTAGAGCTACATGGTTAGTTTTTGTATGACTCTTAAGGATTCCATTACAGTTAGTGTGTTTCAAATTCAAGGTTTTCATAGATGATATTAGCTAGCAGATTGCATTATCCTCTGATACATTGTATTAATGATTAGTCGTAAAAGGAAATTTTGGTTAGTAAACAGTGACTCAGGCAAGCTTACTGTGTTCTACTTGCATGTTCATGGAAGAAAAGTTTTCTTCACATAGTTGAAAACTACTGTGGCTAGTTGATAGTTAATTGTGTATTTAATTGCATAAACATTACGAATATGACCAGATATGTGCAGACAGTAAAACATGTTGCCATACCTAGAATTTCTTCCCTTATTTTCATTCATTCAGTTTTAAGATTACTTATTAATTTTGATTTATCATTGATCCCTTAGTCATTCAAGGCAAGATAAATCTCTTAACCTTTCAAAACAATATAGAGTTATTGTGTACTTACTGGGAATGGATGCCTCTTTTGCCCATCTTGTGACCCAGTACCAAACTCATTGATTGTAAAAGTGGAGTGTAGCCAACATAATTAGTTTTTGTTATAAGCATTTGTAACGATTTCTCGCAAACGGATGGTGTTGTATTTATAACTTGTAAGGTTATTAAATATTTCATGATGTATGCCCAATTTCATGGTGGGGTTCTGACCTGTGGTCATGCCAATGACATAAAACATCCCTGAGTCAAACATATTTTACCGGCTTAAGTGGCTCAAAGCATCAACTGATGTCACTGCAGTGCTTCTAAACTACAATGTAAATCCCGACTGTGGCAAGATTTTCAACACTAGCTGGAGTAGTAGTAGTAGTAGTAGTAGTAGTAGTAGTAGTAGTAGTAGTAGTAGTAGTAGTAGTACTTCGATTTTCGATTCGACTACTAGCCGGTAGTAGTAGTAGTAGTTCAGCCACTGTCTAACAGCTACCTGCTCTGATGGTAGTTTTTTGTGGGGTCTCCATGCAGCAGCGGATGAACGCTGGAGCAGTACCCTAATAAAAGGGCCACAGACTGCACATGATCTTTTCTTCATCTTCCTTGTCCTAACTTAACTTCCTTTGTTGCACACTCTTACACTTACATGCACTAAACTATGACACATATTGGGTGACCAGGCAGGAGCTTAGTGCTTGTCCTGGCTGTGGCAGAGACCTTTTTTAGAGAAAAAAATATAAATTGCCTTTCCTTCAGGCAAAAATTACATGTAATCTACTTGTTTTCAAGAAATTGTACATGAACCTTATTTTTTGAAATACATTACTATAATAAAACAAGATAACTTTCCAAATTGTCTAGTTTGTTTCATCTCTCACATTTCATATGCTTTCCTGGCAATTAAAGATCCTTTGAATTGGTTCTGAAGATTGGTATAGCATATTTAAAATGCACATTTAGCTTGCTTTTAATTTTCACACTAATATATGTCTAATATATGTTAATGGAAGTGTAGCAAAGATCTTATACATTTTTAATGCAGAGAATATTGTTTTCTTTTATAATTAGCAAAAATGCACAAGGATTTATAGGTCACAAGTTTATGTTTTAAGTGTGAAACAAAATATTCGGAATTGGCTATGATATCTTAATAAGATTTAATCCAGTTCTCCTGATCTTTTTGTCACATTTTCTGTTAAGATTCTGATGGACTGGATGATAAATCAGCAGTGATGAAAATCGTCAGGTTGTCATAATTCACAAGTTTTGCTATTTTATGAAGCACACATTTCGACCATATAAAAAACTGTACTACTGTAAACTGTACATTGAGATTACTACACTGTAGTAATCTTCAATGTACCACATGTTCATATAATTTGCCTATTTGATCTTGTCTAAATACACACTTTGTTTATCCCAAAAAATTGCCATTGTGATGTATTTCTTCACACACTTGAAAAATCAAAAGCATGCAAAGGCACAATAAAGCGGATATTCTATAATATTCACAAACATTTTACAAAATGTTTTAACACTACATATTTACAGAGCATTTCAATTAACATGATGGTTGACTTTTCATTTCTGTACAAATGAAATTTTGTATACTGTAAGTGATTAAATACACCTACATTTTTTAGTATTTTTTAATTTTTCTGGCCCCAAATATCTTGATAGAAATCAAACTTTTGTAATATCTTGAAGAGTGGAACTGTTTTCCAATATAGAGTTTTCTAAGAAAAAAGTCCATCTGGTTTTTAGAAAATTTGTTGGACGAGCAGATGAGCAGACAGACATGTTGCCGTCAATGGATTGTTTGGTAAAGAGGTCCCACAAAACAAGGATTCTGGCTACACTTTGTGATATGAAATAATTTGCTATTCATATAGGAACATGATTTATCTACATTTTTGTTTCTTGGCCATGACAATGAGAGATTTTCTTTTGAGAATTTGATGTTTTCCTGCCCATGATTTCAATACTGTCTTGTCTTTCGAAGTAAGGGGGAGAAAGTTTAAATTCAGATGGGTATCAGGAACAAAATAACATTTGAGATCAGTATTCTACCTACATTAAGATGAAAAATGACTTGCAAAACCATCAACTATAGATTTAGTGTCAGGAAAGGTAGATGATTTAAAGTGCATCATACTTAAGTCTTCTTTTTAGAATACTAATTTTCAAACCTTTTTGTGATTTGTAGTTATAATTGTTGGCCAACATTTTGCACTTTGCCCTTAAATTAGAAAATAACAAATAATGAAAGGAAGTTTTCCATAATTTATAATCAACCCTGCAATCTTTCACAACAATAACATTTTCCAATTCTCTACTAATGAAAACTTAGTTTTAACAGTTATATTCTTGGGTATGTAGAGCTGAATACAATAATACACATAGTATAAAAGAAAACAAAGACCTCTTCTAGGCTTCTATTTACCATTAAAATGTTGGAATAATATTCGGACATAAAATTCACAATGAAACTAAAACCAGCCGCATTAAAATCATATTCCCACCTATTACAGTCTTTACATTCTATTTTCATTGAGCAGAAGCAAACAACAGATAGTGATGGGTTATAAGAATGTGCAGGCACAACAGATTGCTGCTCGTGAGACTGACAAGACATCAAAATCTGAAAAAATTCAGATGAAAATCACTTTATACACATTTAAAAATTAACCTGAAATAAATTAAGGAAGCCTCTCTTATCATTCTGTACCATTGAACAGTTTCTTTTGCACAATGTAACATTACCAGCAAATGTATAGTAACTTGGTAATCTTTTGTGCTCCCAAGAAACTCGTGGGAGATTGACCATTTGAAATTTGATTTACAAATCCGAAGATTCAAATGTCTTCATGAATAGCATAAAAATGTCTGTATCAATCAATGGTGAAAATAAATGCCACAAATGATAATATCAAAATTTTATGCTCAATTCATTTTATTTTACATTCAATTGCTCAACATCAGAGGCCCCTTAATCATAATACAATGTAAAATATTTTTAATATCTATAAGATCACCCTCTCGTCTCCTCTATACACTATTTGCAATGTTATGGTCATTTTTTTAAATGACATTCCAATTGTGAACTCGAAATGTCAGGGACCAACCATGTTTCCAAAAAACAAAGATGTCGTGTTTATTGAAAGTAAATAAATTTTTCAATATCTTTAATTTTGGAAATAGACTTTCAAATTGCCCTGATTTAGATGTGATATATATTTAGATTTTTCGCTGCAACAAAATCAACAATGTTTGGCTGCCCATTAATATATCTAACAGTTTTAACTTAACCATTTTTTGTTCATTAAGTCGAGTTTATCTCGCAACTTTTTCTATTAATCCGATTTAATTTTTTTTATTAAAATTTAAAAATATCCTCGAGGCTTCATATAAAGTTTGCCAAAAAATAAAAATCGTTTTCAAATTCAAGAGGCCACAGCATTAGTTGGGTCTTTCTGGGAATATCAATTTCGGTGAAAATTCGACTTAGGGTTTAGATTCTAGCATTGTTCTCAGGCAGACATGATGCCATAAACTTATTTTTAATCAGTCAACAACGCAATTTAATCTGATGAAAGACTCACAAAATGGATAATGATCATGTAATATGTTGGAAAAAGTAATTTACTTAATTTAGGAACAAGTATTTTCCGCTTTTTCAGGATCAGGGACACACAATATGAATCTGATGGCATTTCATAAGCATTATAGAACTTGCTGTACGCTACAAATGTATTTGGTTGCAGGATTTTCGACACTAACTTGTCAGCTAGGCACTTGTCAGTCAGTCATTGTCTGGAGGAGAATTCAAACGGCTGGCTGCTCTGATTGCTAGGTTTCTGTAGTTTGTCAAATCAGCACTAGGTGAATGCCGGAGCATGCCATGAACTCGGCATGATCCATCCTTCCTCTTCCTTTTCAATTGTCTCCCGTACTTACACACATACTAACATGCACCACACTACCACACATGCTGGGAGACTAGTTGGGATCTTAGAACTTGTCTTGGCTGGGGCAGCCCTCTGCTAGCTCTGCTAGATTAAAATATGCTTATTTCTTAAGTTATTATCTCTTCCATTAAAACTCAAGAAACATTTATTTCAAAGGTGCAGCATTGAATGTTGCATACGCTAGTACTGTACGGGACACCTGCTGGAGGGTTAAGATTTAAATAAATTTCTTAAATTCTCTGTTGAAACCGCTTTGCAGTGTTCTGTTATAGGAAGTACTATATCTCATAAGTGCATAAAGAAATGGATTGAGTTTCAAAACTGGCAAAGTCCACCTCAAAAGTTACTAAATTCAACTTTTTTTGCATTTTCAAATAAACAACAAATACATAAATAAATAAACAAACAAATAAACAAATAAATAAAACAAATAAATAAATAAATAAAACAAATACTATAATTAAAGTCTCATTTAGCATATTGCAAAATGTCTTCTAATTCTTTTTAGATTGTGAATGTAACTTATTTTATAACTTGTGCTTGTGTTCACTTTGAAATTGAGGGGTTGGATGTAGTTTCTTTTGATTATGGTTCCAAAATTGAATTATATTTTAATGAAAATGAAATTTAATTGTCAAATCATTTGATACATTTTACTTGAGGAACCAAATTAATTGAATCATCCTTCGTTAACAACAAATTGATTCTGTAAGAAAACATTAAAACAAAGTATTAATTAGGAATTTTAATTACATAAATAGTATTGTTTAACATCTCTTGTAGTGCGTGCTCTATCAGATTCAGGTTCTGAAGAGGAAGAAGATGGAGAAACCAGTCAAGATGCTCATGATTCAGATTTTGAATTAGATATTAAGCATCAACATCTTAATGTAGTACCTCTAGAAGAATCAACAATTAGGTGAGTAGATTAAGATATGAATTTGGATGGAGGATTTACTTTGCATCTAGTATACTGTAGGGAGGATTCAGAAAGGACAGTCAGTAGTATAAATGAATTAAAAAAACACCATATACTTATTTTGTTTTCTCTGCCTGATATTTTTCTACTATTCATTAATTACATATTTTACTCAAATCTTTCTCATTTAATAATAACGTGAAGTCATTTCAGCTCCTGAATTTATAGTTGTTATTATAGTGTAGACGTGGGTGTTCCCCAATAGTTGAGGAGCTCTAAAACCATACATCATGAGTTCAAATATTCAACAGAATATTTTGTCACATTTTTTTGAGTGACTTCAAAGAGATTTTAAAACCCTAAAGTACCATAACTAGAGCCTGGAAGTTCAGACAATTATTTTACCTAAAGTGGGTATTTATTCTGGCAAATGTAGGGGTGCATAAATGCATGTAAACAATGAAAATCACATTTAAATGCAATTGTTGTAAAAGAAATAATATTTAAAATGATTCACTTTTTTATTTTAACTCTGAAATTTACATTAGCACTTACGAACTCCCTTTTGAATGTTGAAATGGCACATGTGAAAATGGAATTATATTTTTCGTTCTTTGCATTTGTGTAATTCCTAGCAATGAGAAGGGTACATCATATACGGAGTCCTATTCTCAGAAGGGATTGCAGGTTATACTCAAAAGTAGAACGGGATACCTCATAAGCGAACAAAGCCTATCAGCATCAATGAAAAAAAGAAATCAAAAATGTTGACTGGTATCCATCTTCCTTTTTCATTTAGATTTATAACACTACCTGGTCCTGGAGCCTCCGCTTCCACCGAAAGAGAAATAACAACTGTGCCTTTGTCTTACAGGTATGTTCCCAGGTTGATTGAGATCAATGCCAGGAGAAGAAAGCAAAATGTTGATGAAAAAGGCAGAAAGGGGCAAAATTCTAAAAATAGGCATCAGAAACTAAAATAGGCAGAAAAAGGGAAAATAAAAATCTGAAAGTGATTTCTTTTGATAAAAGTCATAAAATCATAACAATACTAAAAAGGCATTGTGTCAAACTTCCGGGCTCTATTTAAGTAAAAAAAGAAAAAGGACTTAATTAATGATTTTTATAAATAAAATTATCCACATATTTGCTTACTCTGGTCATAGGCTTAAAACATGTAATTTGAACCATGGTACTAGACTGAGTCTAATGTTGGGAGTCTCTTGCCAGTGTCAAATGGGTGCCATGTTAATGAGTTAGCATTTGTTAGTAACCATCACTTTGTTAGCAGGTTAAAATTTGAAATGGTAATATGACTTCTATTTCTTTGATTGTGGATTTGTATTAGCAGATATATATAGCAGATATTTTTAGAGAGTTTACTTTTGATGTATGGGGAATACCTTGTTACCAAAGTGGTTGAGTAATGTTTTTTTTAAACTAATGGAATACTTTTATTAGTCACAATTTTTTTAATGACCTCCAACTGTAATGAAATATTTGTTTAATTAGTGTTACTAATATATATGTTTTTAGAGACATCCAGATGTAGGCTAGTTGAGGTTTATATCAAAGGCCAAAGTGAAATCAAATTTAAAACAGTCCATTAATAATTGATGTGATCGTTTGCCATTGTCTTGCAGATCAGATATTCACATCACACGTATCTTACTTTGGAAGCAATCTTTCGCATATCTATGTGATACAAACACAACTCGTATTGTCTTCAATGCCTTTTTACTTCTTCATATACAAACTATATGTGGAGTAATTATGCATAGTATAGAGAAAGTTATGTAATGTTGTGGGAAATCGATTTTGAGGTTTCAAGGAAAATACACATTTTGGGAGTCCGAAAAGTGTTTTTAGTTTTTGTTTTTTCAAAATAGCCGCCTGAAAAATGAACACCACAAGCAGCTAAATCATGCATAGGATTTTTTTCCAATTGAAGAAACCCCTGTCCATCTGGCTCAAGTTGGAGCTTTGAAATTTTGAAAAACTTTCTTTAAAATTTGGGGCTACTTTACATGAAGCCGCTGGCACATTTTCAAAATTTTCTCAGAAACAGCTCCAATTCCCCCCCCCTAAATTTCTTGTTAGAATAAGGTAAAATGCACTTACAAAGGTGGCATAGGTCCAATTGTCAGGGTTAACTCTGAAATTACAAAAATTTGGAATTTTTTTCTGTCTTCTTACTACTTTAAAACTGAAGAGAGAAATTTTCCTTTCGAGGAAAATTTGTTCTTCATATTTACTTCTTTCATTAGTAGAAAATTGTAGTAGTTTTCGCGCAAAATTTTGTGCAATATTTGCATTTAAATATAAAATAAAAACAATTTTCTCACAAACGTCTCCACATTTTTTCTTTCTTTTCGTAAGGTTAGTTCTAAATGCACTCTTATGATATAAAACGCTAATTTGCTCTATCCTTCTGCTTTTTCAAAATTACAATTTTTTTGTTGACATGTCTCACGTCATTAATATTGATATTACAGTGATTAGTTCACATTTTTACATTTATGAGTACATATGCTTTAAATAATGTTAAATAAAATTTCTTGAAAACTCAAAAGTATTCTGTGAAAACGAACTCAAAATTTCGCATTTTCATAAAGGTCTAATCACCATTTTTTGAAAAATGGCTCCAAACTTTTTCGTCAAACTTTACGTGCATGTAGAGAAAATTGCTTCTTTGAGATGACATACGATTCATTTTGTGGTTTAACTTTGTTTTTTCAAAAATTACAACTAAAAAAAAAGTCATGCCAAAAATGTATCATGCCCCAAGCCACTCAGACAACACCAGTGACGCCTGTTACTCTCTCTGAAGCGGGACTCCGAAAGGAGGTCGCTGAAGAAAAGCAACAGGTCGCTCAACTCATCACACTCCTCTAGACCCTCTGCCAACTAGTGTTCAACGAAAATGGCTGAACAACTAAATCAGAGAAACACAAACACCCGCCTCCTAGCTGTGGCCGCCTGGCACATTAATGGACACTCCGGTCACACTGATTCTAGCGAAAAACGTTTAATAGAGCTGTTCTGCAACAAACACCGCATCGACGTTCTGCTACTGCAGGAAACTAAACTCAAAAGCTCAGATCATATGGAGCTGCGCGACACGGCATATACCGCACAGACCGCGACGGTAGTCATCGCGGGGGCGGCGTAGCGATTGCCACACGCCGCTCAATACCCCACCGATTAGCAACCTTCCCCCGCATGGCGCGCCTCAAAGCTGTAGCAATCGTGGCGAACTCGACGGAGGCCGAAGTAACTCTAGTATCTGCATACCTCGCACCAAATAGACCTCTAATAGAGGAAGACTTCGACATACGGCTCTCCCTAGCACCTCGCACGGTCCTGGCAGGTGACCTGAACGCCTAGTGCGGAGAATGGGGATGCAACACCACTAACAGGAACGGAACCTTACTTGTAAGCTTTCAGTTATCACACCACTCAGTGAATCTCGTCCCACCTTTTACCCCTGCCCGTTTTCTAACAAACCCCAGGGAAAGACCCGAAATCCTAGACGTGGCGCTCACGGTCGGAGACATTCGGGTAACAACGCCATAACCAATCACCTTTTCCCTATCTGATCACGTTCCCATCACCTTCGCTGTAGGCAGCATACGCTTCTTCAGCTGTCCCAAGCAGTGGGTCCCACAATCCATAAATTGGAACGAGTTCCGCTCATTACTCGCCACATCACACACAACTTCCCCGCAAATCATAGACGCTAAAGAATCTATTGATGCACGGATAGAAACACTCACTAAACAACTACAGTAGGCTCACAGGAAGGCAACACCTGTATTTTGGCGTCCGCCTGAGGAAGGATCAATTACCCTTCCACCCGACGTAAAGAAACTTCTGCGCGAAAAACGCAAGGCTAGACGGCTCTGGCAACAGTTCAGATGCCCCGCATTCAAAACAGTCGCGAGAGTGCGAAAACCGCCTAAAAGTGGCACTCTCAAACCATCACGCAGCCGAATGGGAAAAGGGCATGAGAGAGATCGGAACCGATCACTCACGAAACGGCCTTTTCAAACTTCAAAAGGCCCTGAGGTCCGTACCAAACACAAACACAGGAATTCGAGGACCTGAAAACGCGGAAGGAAAACCAACTTACCTTTTCTCCGACCAAACTAAGGCGGAATTCTTCACAGATATGCTCGAAGAAAAGTTCACCAACAACTCCTCGCAAACAGACAACGACGAAGAAAATGCAGAGGAAAGCAACAACACAATACTCGCACACTGCACTATCCAAGAAATCACACAAACTATCTCAAACATGCGCAGTCGCAAGGCACCGGGCCCTGACCAGATCGGTCCCCCAATCTTGAAAGAAGCGCTTCCGATCATCAGTTCTGATCTAACACGCCTTTA